TCATCTAATATTCATTCATGTGTATCATATAAAATTATCTTTTTTAAATATATATATATTTTTTTAATGTTGAAAATTTTAATTTTATTTCTCTTTGAAATAAGTAATATTGCCTAATAGTTTAATTATATTTAGAAGTAACATGTGTGATGCGTGCTAAAAAGTTCGCGGCGGTAGAGTAACAAATTATTGTCTTAGCGTTGTACGAAAGTTCAGCACACATACAAATGAAATTGAAAAAAACGGTGATGACTCGAGAAGTTTTTACGTGGAAAACCTGTAAGGGAAAAATTACAGGAACTGACCTCGTTGCGGAAATCCACTATTTATTGATGATTACAAAAATCCACTGTCCCACGGACGTGAAATGGTAACTATATTTTTTAAGGTACAACGTCGACTTGCGGTGTCTAGTCGGTGGTGATCGATGACGGTAGGCGGTGGTCGACGACGGTCGGCGATGGCTGAGATCGGTGAGGGTCGTCTGAGGTCGGCGGTGGTCGTCTGAGGTCGGCGGTGGTCTGCAACTTCTCCTCAAGACCTCAGGCTCTCTCTAGACTTTCTCCTCCTCATGAGACGGATGAGGCTCTATTCATAGTGTTTTGTGTGCAATTAATGCAGAAGTATGAACCATTTTGATCGGACGGTCCGAATAGATTCCCTCGATCATATGGCGTTTAATGGACATTTGGGTGCCTTAATGATGTTAGAATTGAGTGATTTTAGGCTCGTTGGATTCGTCTGATTGGTCTTGTCGAGCCGCTCAATTTCAATATAAACTAACTATATTTGACAATCGTTTGATTTCCAAATGTATTCATAAATCTTCTAACTTTTGTTTTATGACTTGATCTGGGTTTGGTTTGACTTGAATTAGGTTAGTTTTTATATCATTAGGTCCATCTCATTGAACATGTCAGTTTGACTATAAATTTGCTGAAATCGGATCTCTGGATGACTATTTATCAAGATTTGAATGTTTCTTGCCTCGAGATTCGTGTTGGATGATGAAAATTTGTTGGTGGTGTATCAATGTGAAACTTTAAGAAAACTACCTAGGTGTGCTTGATTTGTAAATAGCAATGTTTCAGGTGCTCTTCATGTAAAGAAAGATTTGCATATAAACCCACTTAATCCCTGTATATTTACAAATCTAACCCCTGTACTTTAACTTTTGCCAACATGTCATATTATCTATGTATGTGCATTTCAATTTTTAAAAGTTAATTAAAATGGTGTGATTTTTATTTGATATGAGACATTTGGGGTTACAAATGTAAAAAGCAACATGTCGGTGTTAGATATGAAATTTCATAGGAATTAGGTGGTATGCATGCAATTGCCCTAAAAAAAATACAATCTTGAATTTTAAGACATAATTTTTTTTATATAATTAAATTATTCGGCCCCATTTTTACGTCATATTTGTTTTTTCAGGAGGCACTTATTGATCTCTTTATAGTACAGAAAAAGGAGAACTTTACATGCATACCCCCAGCTCCTATGTATTTAAGTGTTTAAAACCTAATATTTACTAATTATATTTATACCACCAAAATCTTTCATGTCACATAAAAAAATCCCATTTTTTTTTTTAAAAAGTTAAATACATTTTCATACAGGGGTAATTAAGATGGCATTTATGTAAAATTAGATGTTTGAGGGTTAGATGTTTAAATACATAAAAATTAAGTAGTATGTATGTAAAACTTCCTCTCAAAAATATAGAGGGTCAATAGTTGACAGTAATCAATGCTAATGACTCATGTTTGGCAAATTAAGTGTCTCTTTAGGTAAACTAAGTCTTGACAGTTTTTTCAAAAAGCTGCTGCTCAAATTGTGTTTTCCCACCATTTCTTACAAGGTGCGGTGGCTGCAGTCTAACTTTTTCAAAAAATAATTATATATATATATATAGTTGTCAGTGCAATTTTTTTAAATATTATATTATTTTTCAACAGCTTCACAAATATTTTTTAATAAACTACAGTTACCCAAACAGACGCTTAAATGCAACTATGATTAAAACAAGTGATAAACTAAGCATTATAGCCAATACAAATAATGCAAATTCAATATTTTAGAAATTTAACCCTGATGGGGGAGGAAAAAAAAAGACTGAGTTTACATTTTAGACCTTTGCCAATCAAGATAATAGAAAATGAAAAAAAAAAACTATGGTTAAATCATTTAATTCTATGAACATTTTAAACCTCTTATGGTATATGAATAATTTTATCACTATTTTCTATAGAGGGTTATAATGAAATAAATAAGGTATATTAATTTGATTTTTATTGATGTTTTGTAATTATTTAATTTTGATTGATAATATGGGAGTCATATTTGAACGAGAAATTAACATGCGCACGACACAATTCTCATGGATTTACTTATGCAACTCTTAAAGTTTGGTATTTACATTTATAATAACTTAGTGCTATAAATTTATATAAAAAAAGATGCAATTGACTTTTAAAAAGTCAATAAAAGCGGTTTGTTTGATGTGATTATAAAGATCGATGTGTGGGTATTAGGTATATAAATATTCAAACATTTCGAGCAACAACCAATTAATAATGTACATAAAAAAATGGTCTGCACGGATCTTAAGCCAACCAAACGGTCTTTAACGGTCCATAATAAATAAGACCCAACTTCTACTACTCCCCCCTTTTTAGCAAAGGCGGCAATATAATTTTATCTTTGTCTTCTTATCATCTATAAATAGGAAGATCCTTCCATATATTAGGGGTTTTTGATTCCCCCTCTGTAATCACACATGAAATAAAATGGATCTAAGAGCTCCAGTAACACCTCATTTGCCCCTGCACGGCAAATCTTCATTTCTTTCTCTTCCTCCACTCTTCCAATTTCTCTCCCCCAGTCTCTACACTTTATTTATGAGGCACGATTGGACAGAACTAGATTCAACAAAGAGCTATATTTAAAAAAAAAGCATATCCAACAGTGCCAAAAAAATTAACACAATAATTACACAAATATTTTTAAGAGATTTAGATTTACAGGAGACTTAGGGCTCGTTTAGGGCAGCTTATAAGTGCAGCGACATTTTTTAAAACACCGCCTAACCGTTTGGTTTGCGTGTTTTTGAAAACGCTGTCTACCGCATTTTGGTTTTTTACACTAAATGCAGACCGTTTCAAGATAAGCTGCTTATCATGAAACGCACAAGCTGACCCAAACAGACCCTTAATAGTCTCTCTAGAGTGGATGTGGAGATATCTTTTTTTTACATAGGGTTTAGGGCTCTCTCTCTCTCTCTCTCTCTCTCATACAATGAAAAAAACTCTCAACCCTAAACCGGGTTTTTTCACTTCATAATTAAATGTATGAGAGAGAGAGAGAGAGAGAGAGAGTTTCCATGCTAGCATGACCCATAGCATGTGAATTAACACAGGAATTACCCAATTACTCTCAAGAGATTTAGATTTATAAAAGACCTAATAGTCTCTCCAAAGTGGTTGTGGAGATATCTTTTTTATATAGGGTTTAGTGCTCTCTCTCTCCCTCTCATACATTGAAAATACTCTAAACCCAAATCATGTTTCTGGTCTTCATAATTATATTCATGAGAGAGAGAGAGAGAGAGAGTGCTTCTATGCTAGCTTGACCCACAGCTTGTGAATTCATATTCTTCCTAGCTTGCCTTGCATTATGAGTCTTTTACTATATATATCCACATATATATATATATATATATATACATACATATATATGTA